TCGGTAGTCAATAAAGGAGGAAAAAAAAAATCAAATAACACAGTGTAAAATTATTGTTTTGTTAATAGCAATTATGTATATTTTGTATATTCAACAAATCAACAAATACAGTAATAGATCTGTGGAGGAGCGTAAAATAAAAAACATGATACAAAATATAGTTATTGACGTACAGGTTTACGGTGTTGGTAATAATATTGTAATATCGTTATGCTAAGTAGTATAAAATAGAGAGTTCCACCCAAGGTTCCCCGTCTGTGATACATTATATACATTATATACACACATNCATCTATTATTATTATTTAACAAAATAATATTACTCATACGCAAATTGTTACCTATACGCAGTATAACCGTCGTCACAATCCCTGTCTGCTCCTTCCCGCATAATACGAAATACAATCGTCGGCGACAACAGACCTCTTCACCACTCCTTCCAACCTATTACGACATCAACTGTCATTTAAAAATTACGAATACGTAGCACCGGTGCCACCGGCGGGTCTTATCGACTGCAATAGCTACACGCTTAGCTTCACAGAACGTTAGTTCGCGGATATAGGTGTCAACCCGACAGACACGTTCTCCTTCAAAGTACAGATAATAACTCCATCACGTTACGTCAAACCATCATCAGACGCTCCAAAACAAATTGTTTCACTGATGATCGAAATCCAATCAAACAGACACGAAACACCACAATACAAGGCACATACATTTCTGGAGACCGCAATATTCGAGTTATCGGGTTATGCGTTCAAAAACAAAAATGTTCTTATAATCGAATCGAAGTCCGCTACAGGCTGCCGTACCACATTAGGTAAACACGATTTAATCGAGTTCCAAAATTCGAAACCGTTAATTTTCGAGACAGCGGCACGGAAAACCGCTATCAGTCAACCTTCATTATTGAAACAATTCAATCAGATTGTTCATTATATAGTAGAAAAAATTACCAGAATGACAACATAGCTACCAGCAGATACGAATAGAATAATAATGTCTATGAAAAGTCCTCAAGACGAACAAATCGTATCCTCCTTGACGAAACACGGCGTTAGTGATGCCAGTCAAATAAGGATGTACTCGACAACTCGACTACCAGAGTGCTAATAAACAAATATTTACCTACATACATTTAGTCTTTTCATTTACAAAAAAAAAAAAAAAAAAACCCAACTGTTAAGGTAGTATAAATGTAGCATAATACTTAAAAGTGGTTGAAACTCGATAGTTGAATGTACAGCGAGGTGTCTTCCTTACCAATATGAAACTGCAGAATCCAATTCTTCATCCATCTCTCCCTTCGGTACCGGTGGCGTTGTAATATGTTGCGGATCGCCGTGGCCGAATCCTCTTACGGCATACGTCGGCGGCGGCGTCAAACAACCAGGCGACGTCGGGGAACAGCTCGGTGACGTTGGTATAATCGTAAGACTACCCGAGCTCTGCATAATCGTCCGGCACTCTGCCAATTGTGGTGTCGCATACATTTTGATTCGACCGGCATAACTAACGCCGAGTTTCGGCAAGGACATTACGATTTTTTCATCTCGAAGATTTATTATGGACATTTGTGTTCATATCTGCTGGCGGTGGCGTTGTCATTTTCGGTTATTTCTTCTATTATATAACGAACAATCTGACGGAATTGTTTCGATACTGATGGTTGACTCATGGCGCTTTTCCGTACGACCGCCTCGAAAATTAACATTTTCGAATTTAGGATCGCGATTAAATCCTGTATACTTAATGTGACACGGCAGTCGGTAGCGTACTTCGACTCGATTGTAAGAACATTTTCTTTTTTGTACGCATAACGCGATAACAAGAATATTGCAGTATCCAGAAATATACGTGACTTGGATTACGGTGTTCCGCATCTGTTTGATTGGATATCGTCCATCAGTGAAATTATTTGTTTTGGAACGTCCGATGTTGGTTCGACATAACGTGACGGAGTTATTATCTGTACTTAGACGGAGAACGTGTGTGTCGGATCGACACCTATATCCGCGAACTCACGTTCTCCGAAGCTAAGCGTATAGTCATTGCGGTCGAGAAGACCCGCCGGCGGCACCGGTGCTACGCATTCGTAATTTTTTAATCACATATTCAAACGTTTGTAAAAATGGACAAACACTATGTAATGAAAAAAATCAAACGCCATGATCACCGGGCAACGACGACTTGCTTCTGCGACCGACGCACGGAAAATGATTTAGTCGTCCGCCCAAAAGTGCGTGGACGAGATGAAATTCAAGCGAACGCGGGTTGGTGGGGGGGGTGGGNGTGGTGGTGGGGTGGGCTACGAGGGACCGACGAACAAAGGGTCGCAACGGACGAGAAACACAATGTGCGCAGCTGCCGGTATATATTTGTGTAGGGTGTTCATTCTTTCCGTTCTCGGCGCGGGACCGGCTACGTGTGTATTATCGACCGGTGGGTGGGGTTGGAGGGGAGATTCGTGATAGAATCCGTGCGCGAACGAACTGGAAAATCAATAACAATACATTTTTGCACCCGGCCCCTCGCTCGGAGAAACGCATTGTGTTCGCTGCTTATTGTATACACATATAAATATACGTGTGCGTACGCACATTTATTGTTCGTACCAGTCTCTCGGGACCGGGACCCTCGGCACGGTTACGGTCGGAATTGTATACTTAAAATATATATATGTGTGTGAAACATATGGTACGAACCTTTGTACCCGCATTAGTGATATTTATAAGACCGGTTCAGGGATCGCCAACGTATTTCGTATGGGCGTACGAATATATTTCGTATTGTGCGGGCAGGAGCAGACGGGGGTTGTGACGACGGTTGTACACCGTGTATAGGTAACAAACAGCGTATGAGTAATATTATTTTGTTCGATTGTAACGATAGACCACCGTCTATGAGTGTGTCTGTGTGTGTTTGTGTGTGTGTGTGTGTGTGTTTGTGTGTGTGTGTGTGTGTGTGTGCAATGTAACACGGACGGGGAGGATATATTTCGTATAAGTATACGAAATACTAGCTATGTATAAGATACGCGGGCACATCGTCTTGTGATAACAGTAGGTATACCTATATATGTATAAATCGATAAACAGATACATATGGTATGACTTGTGACAACAGCAGGTATAACCGTGATAACACTGTGGTAATAATGTCGAAGTGCGCGTGACCCAAACGGTCTAAGAAATGGTGGACAATTCTATTTTACACTATTTAGCACAACGACATTACAATATTATTACCAAAACCGTATACCTGTACGTCAATAACTATATTTTGGATCATGTTTTTTGTTTTACGCTCCTCCACAGATCTGTTACTGTATTTGTTGATTATACATAATATACATAACAATGTGTTATTCGATTTTTTTTTTCCGTCTTTAATTGACTACCGACTACCGTACCTAAGATATAGTCTCGGACGACGATAATACTACACGCATATATGTTTATATGTTTAATAGGTAGAAGACCTATGATATTATAATACACTCGAATAAAATTAATTGTAACAAGATGAAAAAATATTAACACATACTACGAATAACCTCTCCCATATCTAAATGAAAATATTTTATAGCATTTTCGACGGGTTGGTACTCTCTAATTCTCAAACAATTAAACCAAGATTTACCGCGGGAGTATTCAAATCTAATCAAGGTAAGTTCAAAAAAAAAAAAAATTACTGTTCATGTTTTATTTTATACTTATACAATTTTTTAGAATAATTAATCGAATTAATATTCGATTCACAGATTAAACAATACAGCAAATAATAATATAGTAGGCAATAGAATAGCCAATAAGTATCGCAAATTATCATTTTCTTACCAAAACCTCGCGGTATCTACAAAACTCAAATACGATTTACTTAACGATCACTACCGTCATATTATGTTCTTGAAATATGGTGGTAGGTAACACGTGAATAGTGGAAGAAAACTAAGATTTTGGTACGGCGAAATGATTCTCGTGATAATCTCTTACCAATATATTGTACTTTGCTACTGCAAAATATGCATCTCGGGAGACTACAGGCGTTTGTTCTGATGGTTTTTTACGATATTACATATACCAAACATACCGTAGGTATAGGTAGGTAGAAATAAGAAATAAAATGCCAAAAATAAAATAATCTATCAATAAATAAAAAACCATTTTGTGTTAGTGAAACTATACAAATTTTCTCACGATATTATTATAACCAAACGTACCTACTTTTATTTTCAGGAAATGATGGATAAGCCACGGATAAACGCCATACGAAAAAAGAAGCCTATTGCCCTGCCGTCCTATGCGTATAGCTATGAGTATTTGTGAAATAGCGCTTTATACTTTATTTCTCGTTAAATTATTGTTGTTTAGTTGATTACTTTGATACGTTTTTTTACAATTTTTTTTATACTACAGTAAAACTTACAATTATGTTATTATTATTATTTTTTATGTAATTAATTTGTGTGTAACCTTCTTATACCTTTGTTATCAAACTTTGTTAAATATCTGAATAAAACATCTATTCGTGTAATGATTTTTTGAAATGTTTTGATTGATTTCAATACTAAAATAATACTAAAAAGGTTCATGAAGCTACAATGTAGCTGCTGCATAATTTTGACGTTGACATGAAGAGCTCTTTTATGTGCTAAAATCTGACTTTATAGGAAATACAAAAAACGTTTTAAAAAAATCAAAAATTGAACTAAAAAACTTAAGGTTTGTTGTTATGATTTTTATTATTCATTAATTCTTTCATAAAAATATTATCATATGATAGGTTATGTTTTTTTTAATTCAGGAATACCAAAATCTCAAAATCTATAGAAGTTTTTTTATTTCATACTTATAAACATACTTATTCATATATACATATATTTATATACAGTAAAGGTATGCAACTATAATATGAAAATGTTTGTTTAAACAAAATCGCTGTACCCAATAAGCTCACCTATTTTTTATATCAAGAAATACAACGTAATATGATGAACCTCGTGAAAAATGTACAATTCAATATTTTGAATATTTTTCGCGGGTTGTTCGATATTTACCATCAAACATTCGTAACCTTGAAATACGTCTACTCGACAGCGATTTTGCGGCAAAACCATACCTAATAGATAATACAGATAATAAAGTAGTATTACTTTGGTCGACATGGAGGAAACGTTTTTTTTCCCTCATTAAACGAAAATATTTTTAAAAGTCGTGAGTAGAGAGCCTATGTAATTATTACGTAGGCTTCCTTGCTAATGAATATCGGTTTACTTTTAGCGCGCGTAAAAAAATACGATAAACACGAATTGAAAATAATCGAGTGCACCTAAATCGATAGCCTATGATCTTTTTTTTTTTAAACAAAAATATAACTGAAGAAACTGAAAATTGTAAAACAATAATTAATGTTTATGGTCTAAATGTACCCATGTATGAATATATCTACATTCAACATTTTCCAAATAACAAAAGGGTAATTTTAATGTTTAAAACTTTAGATTTCTGGTTTCGATCGCAGAAAAGTGATCAATAGCAGAATTAAAATCAACCGTCTTTGTTATTTCTTCTTATGATTTCATCAATTCTGAAAAACCAAAAAAAACCGTTGAAAAACGGGAAAATTTGCGAAATATATTAGTTAAATATTGGGATTTTTCTTTTCTGTAGACCACTTTTCTATCAGAAATTTAGCTCCGTTTTACAATGCTAGCACTTTTTCTAAATTGAAATCTGATTGTGGAGGTACTTTGGAGAATTCATTTTTCGATTTTCCCAGGAGTTTTGTCAACAAATGGGAAAAACGGGAAAATCAGTACATTAAACAAATACCATTTAAGATAATATATGTCTATTTAATTATTTTACCTTAATATGACACATATTGTTAACAAAGCATCACTATCAACTGAACTCCACTCAGTGCTCAGAACCGTTTTTTCGTTAACAATGGTTTATCGTTACTTACAGGTATACATTAAATTACATCTAACAGTAGCTGCAGCGGTCCCGGTTATCCTAGGACAGCTTTTTTAAATTTAAAATCACATAAGGAATCGTATTTAAAATAATGCTGCCAATTGTAAGATATAGTTTTAATGAACCGTTAAACGTAATTTTTACGTTGATGAAAACAAAATCGCAAACCATACTTTATTGCCATCACGAAATTGGATAGCGAAACTAAAATTTGAAAAATGTTTCGCGCCCATCCGTTGACCAATTCACGCCTATAATTCCGGTCTCTATCAATAAACAAATACTATTCGCGAATTGTCCCAACGTAAACCATGGACTGCGTGCCGTTTAATCAACCGATGCTCTATGGACCGTAGGTATTATAGTCGGGGCATAGCAGCAGGTACACCGGTGTAGTTTTGTTTTTGCACAACCCGAGTACAAATGCGCTGAGCGCTGGCGGACGACTTCCGACCGTTGCGGTGTCCGAATTAAAATGGCATTCTGTAATCGACGGAAACTTATATTAGCGACTAATCGTTTACAGTTACCCGTTTGAGCCGAAAACTTTGGATAGTTAAATTTTATTTAAATTGGTTTTTTTTTCGTCGATTCCTATCTAATAAATATCGGTTTATTTTTAGCACGAGTAAAAAAATACGATCACGCGACCCCGCGAATATTTTTATCACACTATATTTCGATGACATTTTAATTTCCCGTTTATTGGAGAAAATAGTTTGTTATCAGAACGCCGGACGGTCCCCGCGCGGGCGCCACGAACCCAGCTCCCCCTTCGTTCCGCTATCTGCGATAGTGTACACACCCGCCGACAATGGCGGTTGGGTTATCCCGCGCCGCGCCATCTGTCTGTCTGCAAAATAAAAATCAATACTGTTGCGGTTAAAAATAAAACACCATATTATTAGGTATTCCTCTGCGTTTACTCGTTTCGTGTAACACGTCTTCGCAGTGACGCGAACTGGTCTAAATTTCTGGCGAAACAGTAAAACGTTTGATCACTTCTAACGATGGTTTTTTTTTTTTTATTTTTATAGACATCAAAAATTAGTACCGGTAAATGTGTTAAGATTCGAATTTTTCATTAGTTGCTAAAAACACTATACTGCTCGGCGTACGGACGAACTGAAAAATGTCAGTCGATCGGATTCGCGTGATTTGTCACGACGTAATCACCTAATCCTTTCGACATTTGTGTGTGCGCTGTCACGCATGACGGTACCTACGCGCCTGCCCGGTCATAAAATCACGTCGTAACGAAAATGACAATTTTTTTTCCGCCTATAAAAGGAACGTTTACTTTTGAAAAAAGAACTTACGGATATGGCTAATCGGGTACATTCAAACATTTTCGACAAATTCGTCGGTACCGCGAATGCTACGTTACAACGGGCCGCTTTGCGCCACTGGGTTGCCGACGAACCCCACAAGGTAACCTACTTCATACATAAAATGTAAGTACTGGCTCGGGTAGGGTCCGGCCTGTATCACTGACTGCATACTGCACATCGAATTTCGCTTAAATTCGTGTGTCATGTATTATCATATGTCTCCGGTTATTAAACATACAAACATAAATACGTGTAGTACTGTCGTCGTCCGTGATTATTTCTTAGGCGCCAGCGCACAACCGAACCGCGACGATAGCGACTCGCGATCCGCTAGGACCGCGGGGCCGGTTCAGGACGTTCGGGTATCGGATAGAGGTCGGTAGTCATTTAAAGAAGGAAAAAAAAATCGAATAACACAGTGTAAAATTATTGATTTGTTAATAACGGTTATGTATATTATGTATAATCAACAAATATTAGTAACAGATCTGTGGAGGTGCGTAAAACAAAAAACATGATCCGAAATATAGTTGTTGACGTACGGGTATACGGTTTTGGTAATAATATTGTAATGTCGTTGTGCTAAATAGTGTAAAATAGAATTGTCCACNGACTCGCGATCCGCTAGGACCGCGGGGCCGGTTCAGGACGTTCGGGTATCGGATAGAGGTCGGTAGTCATTTAAAGAAGGAAAAAAAAATCGAATAACACAGTGTAAAATTATTGATTTGTTAATAACGGTTATGTATATTATGTATAATCAACAAATATTAGTAACAGATCTGTGGAGGTGCGTAAAACAAAAAACATGATCCGAAATGTGCTAAGTAGTGTAAAATATAATTGTATCGAATCATATTGAATATATCGGTATACCTACTGTTATCACGAGATGATGTCCCCGCGTATCTTATACATAGCCAGTATTCCGTATACCTATACGAAATATATCCTCCCCGTCCGTGTTACATTGCACACACACACAAACACACACACACTCACACCGTCTATCGTTACAATCGAAAAAAATAATATTACTCATACGCTGTTTGTTACCTATACGGTGTACAACCGTCGTAACAACCCCCGTCTACTCCTGCCCGCACAATAAGAAATATATTCGTACGCCCATACGAAATACAATAGTCGGCGACAACGGACCTCTTCACCGCTCCTTCCTACGCAATACAACGGTTTTCGTGTTCGTATACCCATCGAAATACGTCGGCGATCCCTGATCCGGTTTTATAAATATCACTTATATCACGTTATACACGGCAGAGTTTTTTACGCTCGCGGACAACGACATCCGTGAGAGGCGGGCGTGTACAAAGGTTGGTACCATGTGTTTCACACACACATATGTTATGTGTATACAATTTCGACCGTAACACGCGGCGTGCCGAGGGTCCCGGTCTCGAGAGACGAACAATAAATGTGCGTACGCACACGTATATTTATATGTGTACACAATAAGCAGCGAAAACAATGCGTTTCTGCGTGCGAGGGGCCGGGTGCAAAAATGTATTGTTCTCGATTTTCCAGTACGAGAGCGCGCGGATTCTATCACGAATCTCCCTCACCCCATCACAGCGGATCGATAATACACACGTAGCCGGTCCCTCGCCGAGAACGAAAATAATGAACACCCTATACAAATATATACCGGCAGCTGCGCACATTGTGTTTCTCGTCCGTTACGACCCTTTGTTCGTCGGTCCCTCGTAGGCCACCCCACCTTCACCCCCCCCTAACCCGCGTTCGCTTGAATTTCATCTCGTCCACGCACTTTTAGGCGGACGACCAAATCATTTTTCGTGCTCCGGTCGCTGAAGCAAGTCGTCGTTGCCCGGCGATCATGGCGTTTGATTTTATTCATTACGGAGTGTTTATCAATTTTTACAAGCGTTTGAATATGTAATTTAAAAATTACGAATACGTAGCACCGGTGCCGCCGGCGGGTCTTGTCGACCGCATTAACTATATGCTTAGCTTCAGAGAACGTGAGTTCGCGGATATAGATGTCGACCCGACACACACTTTCTCCGTCTAAGTACAGATAATAACTCCGTCATGTTATGTCGAACCATCATTGGACGTTCCAAAACAAATAATTTCGCTGGTGGACGAAATCCAATCAAACAGACGCGGAACCCCAAAATACAAGTAACATATATTTCTGGAAACCGCAATATTCTTGTTATCGCGTTATGCGTACAAAAACGAAAACGATCTTGCAATCGAGTTGAAGTACGCTACCGACTGCCGTGTCTCATTAAGTAGACAGGATTTAATCGCGCTCCGAAATTTGAAACTGTTAATTTTCGAGGCGGTCGTACGGAAAAGCGACATGAGTCAACCATCAGTATCGGACGATTATGCATAGCTCGAGTAGCTTTACGATTATACCAACGTCACCCCGACTGTTCCCCGACGTCGCCTGGTTGTTTGACGCCGCCGCCGACGTATGCCGTGAGAGGATTCGGCCACGGCGATCCGCAACGCCACCGGGACCGAAGGAAGAGATGGATGAAGAATTGGATTCTGCAGTTCAACTACCCAGCTTCAACCAGTTTTAAGCATTATGCTACATTTACATAACCTTAACAGTAGGGTTTTTTTTTTTTTTTGTGAATAAAAAGATTAAATGTATGTAGGTAAATATTTGTTTATTAGCACTCTGGTAATCGAGTTGTCGCGTACATCCTTATTTGACTGGCATCACTAACGTCGTGTTTCGTCAAGGAGGATACGATTTGTTCATCTTGAAGACTTTTCATAAACATTAGTATTCCATTCATATCCGCTGGTAGTTATGTTGTCATTCTGGTAAATTCTTCTACTATATAATGAACAGTCTGATTGAATTGTTTCTTTGGTGATGATCGGCTGATGGCGGTTTTCCGTGCCACTGTCTCGAAACTTAACGGTTTCGAATTTTGGAGCGCGATTAAATCTTGACTATTTAATGTGGTACGGCAGTCTGTAGCGGACTTCGATTGGATTACAAGAACGGTTTCGTTTTTTTACGCATAACGCGATAACTCGAATATTGCGGTTTCCAGAAATTTATGTGACTTGTAGTTTGGTGTTTCGCGTCTGCTTGTTTGGATTTCGATCATCAGTGTAATAATTTGTTTTGGAGCGTCTGATAATGGTTTGACGTTACGTGACGGAGTTATTATCTGTTCTTTGACGGAGAACGTGTCTGTCGGGTCGACACCTATATCCGCGAACTTAAGTTTTGTGAACCTAAGCGTGTAGCTATTGCAGTCGATAAGATCCGCCGGTGGCACCGGTGTTACGTATTCTTAATTTTTAAATGACGTATTGGAAATCTTGTAAAAAATTGATGTCGTAATAGGTAGGAAGGAGTGGTGAAGAGGTCCGTTGTCGCCGACGATTGTATTTCGTATAGGTATACGAATATATTTCGTATTATGCGGGAAGGAGCAGACAGGGATTGTGACGACGGTTATACTGCGTATAGGTAACAACTTGCGTATGAGTAATATTATTTTGTTAAATTATAATAATAGATGGTGTGAGTGTATGTGTGTGTGTATATAATGTATATAATGTATCACAGACGGGGAACCTGGGGTGGAACTCTCTATTTTATACTACTTAGCATAACGATATTACAATATTATTACCAACACCGTAAACCTGTACGTCAATAACTATATTTTGTATCATGTTTTTATTTTACGCTCCTCCACATATCTATTACTGTATTTGTTGATTTGTTGAAAATACATAATATACATAACCGCTATTAACAAAACAATAATTTTACACTGTGTTATTTGATTTGTTTTATTCCTTCTTTAATTGACTACCGACCTCTATCCGATACCCGAACGTCCTGAACCGGCCCCGCGGTCCTAGCGGATCGCGAGTCGCTATCGTCGCGGTCTCGGGGTGTGTGTCGACGCCTAAGATATAATCATTATTTTGTTAAATAATAATAATAGATGGTGTGAGTGTATGTGTGTGTGTGTGTGTGTATGTGTGTATATAATGTATATAATGTATCACAGACGGGGAACCTGGGGTGGAACTCTCTATTTTATACTACTTAGCATAACGATATTACAATATTATTACCAACACCGTAAACCTGTACGTCAATAACTATATTTTGTATCATGTTTTTTATTTTACGCTCCTCCACAGATCTATTACTGTATTTGTTGATTTGTTGAATATACAAAATATACATAATTGCTATTAACAAAACAATAATTTTACACTGTGTTATTTGATTTGTTTTATTCCTTCTTTAATTGACTACCGACCTCTATCCGATACCCGAACGTCCTGAACCGGCCCCGCGGTCCTAGCGGATCGCGAGTCGCTATCGTCGCGGTCTCGGGGTGTGTGTCGACGCCTAAGATATAATCACGGACGACGATAATCCTACACGTATGTATGTTTGTATGTTTAATAACGGAAGACATATGATAATACATGACACACGAATTTAAGCGAAATTCGATGAGCAGTATAAATAAAGGGCATCGGAAAAAATCCAGGTAAGTCAGTAAAACCGGGCCGGACCCTACCCAGGCCAGTATTGATTTTTATTTTGCAGACAGACAGATGGCGCGGCGCGGGGTAACCCAACCGCCATTGTCGGCGGGTGTGTACACTGTCGCAGATAGCGGAACGAAGGGGGAGCTGGTTTCGTGGCGCCCGCGCGGTGACCGTCCGGCGTTCTGATAGCAAACTATTTTCTCCAATAAACGGGAAATTAAAATGTCATCGAAATATGGTGTGATAAAAATATTCGCGGGGTCGCGTGATCGTATTTTTTTACTCGTGCTAAAAATAAACCGATATTTATTAGATAGGAATCCTACATAATAATTACATTGGCTTTCTACTACTTCTTATACAAGCCTGGGCATTAACGAGTTAATAAGTTACACGTTAAGTTAAAAGTTAAGTTATGTTAACTTATTAACTTAACTTAATTCCTTCAGATAAAATTAACTCGTTAACTTAACTCATTTTCTCCAAGGTTAACTTAAAATAAACGTATTTTTTTTCACTTTTATCAATTAAGTTAATTTTGAATTTCAAAACCAGAAAAACATTTATGTTCAATCCAAAGTCCGTTTACAAGTTCATTGAATCTAGAAAATTATCAAAAATAAAATAAACGATTCCGAAGANCTGCGAAGACGTGTTACACGAAACGAGTAAACGCAGAGGAATACCTAATAATATGGTGTTTTATTTTTAACCGCAACAGTATTGATTTTTATTTTGCAGACAGACAGATGGCGCGGCGCGGGATAACCCAACCGCCATTGTCGGCGGGTGTGTACACTATCGCTGATAGCGGAACGAAGGGGGAGCTGGGTTCGTGGCGCCCGCGCGGTGACCGTCCGGCGTTCTGATAACAAACTATTTTCTCCAATAAACGGGAAATTAAAATGTCATCGAAATATAGTGTGATAAAAATATTCGCGGGGTCGCGTGATCGTATTTTTTTACTCGTGCTAAAAATAAACCGATATTTATTAGATAGGAAGCCTACATAATAATTACATTGGCTTTCTACTACCGACTTTTATATATATTATCCTTTAATGAGGAAAAAAAAGTGTTTCTTCCATGTCGACCAAAGTAACACTACTTTTTTATTTGTATTATCTATTAGGTATGGTTTTGCCTCAAAATCGCTGTCGAGTAAACGTATTTCTAGTGTATGAATGTTTGATGGTAAATATCGAACAGCCTGCCAAAAATATTCACAATATTGAATTGTACATTTTTCACGATGTTCATCATATTACATTGTATTTCTTGATAAAAACAAATCGGTCGAGCTTATTAGGATACAGCGATTTTGTTTAAACAAACATTTTCATATTATAGTTGCATACCTATACTGTATATAAATATGTATAAATATATATGAATAAGTATATTTATAAGTATGACGTAAAAAACCCCCTTAGAGGTTGAGGTTTGGTATTACTGGATTAAAAAAAAAACATAACCTATCATATGATAATATTTTCATGAAAGAATTAATGAAAAATAAAAAACAAAACCTCTCATGCGTCACACTGAATCGTATGTGATTTTGGTACACAATTGTAAGTAACAAAACCTCTTATGTGATGAAATATTGACAATTTATACATTATAATATAATCCTCAACTATTAAGTCTTTTAGTACAATTTTGATTTTTTTAACCGTTTTTTGTATTTTTTTTGTATTTTTTTTTTTTTGTAGTCAGGTTTTAGCACATTAAGTGGATTTTTTTATGTCAAAGTCAAAATTTTGTATCAGTTACATTGTAGCTTTATGAACCCTCCTTTCAGTATTGTTTAAGTATTGAAATCAAAATATTTCCAAAAATCAACATGCGAATAGATGTATTATTCAGATACTTAACAAAGTGTAATAACAAAGGCATAAGAATGTACCATAAAAATTAATCAAATAAAAAAAAAATAATTATAACATAATTGTACGTATGACTGTAGTAGCAAAAGTATAAAAATAATGTAACAAACAAAGTAATCAAATACAAAAAACAATAATAAAATAAAAATAACATAATCTGGATTCGTAATCTTCGTTTAACGTTTGACCATATTGAACTTTGGTTTCAAAGGTGTAAAAAAACGTATCAAAGTAATCAACTAAACAAACAATAATTTAAAGACAAATAACGTAAAAAACGTTATTTCACAAATACTCATAGCTATACGCATAGGACGGCAAGACAATAGGCTTCTTTTTTCGTATAGCGGTTATCCGTGGCTTATCGATCATATTCTGAAAATATAAGTAGGTACATTAAATACTAGGTACGTTTGGTTATAATAATATCGTTTGTGAGAAAATTTTTATAGTTTCACTAACACAAAATGGTTATTTATTTATTGATAAATTATTTTATTTTTGACATTTTATTACTTATTGTCAGCTACCTATACCTGCGGTATGTTTGGTAAATGTAATATCGTAAAAAACCATCAGAACAAACGCCTGCAGTCTCCTGAGATAAATATTTTGCGGTAGCAAAATATAATATATTAGTAAGAGATTATCACGAGAATCATTTCGCCGTACCAAAATCTCAGTTTTCTCCCACTATTCACGTGTTACCTACCACCATATTTTAAGAACATAATATGGTGGTGGTGGTCGTTAAGTAATTCTTATCTGAGTTTTGTACGTACCGCGAGTTTCTGATGCGGAAATGATACTTTGCGATACTTATTGGCTATTCCGTTGCTTACTATATTATTATTTGCTATATTGATTAATCTATGAATCGAATATTAATTCGATTAACTATTCTAAAAAATTGTATAAGTATTAAATAAAACATTAACAGTAATTTCTTTTTTTTTGAACATACTTTGATTAGATTTGAGTACTCCTGCGGTAAATCTTGGTTTAACTGTTTGAACGCGGATCGGGCGAAGTTTAAATATTTAACATCATCATTTTCTAAATGGTTTATAATCATTCTAGCACTCGGCTTCCAATCGTCCGGTAAATTGCTAAAAAAACACATATTATGCAATCTGACTTATAAGTGAAACCATAAAAAACCACTTACAGTCTCATTCCAAGGACTATAAACCCTCCATAAAGTTTCCCAACAATATCCAATTCCGAATCGCCAATACGATAGTACCACCAAACCAACTGATCATGCAAGTGGCAATAAATACGCCTATACATTTGCTGCGAAATGTTAAAAAAACAATTAAATTTTTTAAATTACATAACTATGATCACATTGTAACATAAACATTTTTTTTTCTTTATGGTAAATTATTAAATATTGGTAACAATGAAATAGTGGAAATAAAAATAATTGTAACAAGATAAAAAAAAATTAATACACACAACGAATACCGATAGTATTACCTNCACTCGAATTATTGTCTCCATGCAGGATTCGTCTACGTCAAATCAACAATAATTTATTAGGAGGAAGGTAAGTATTTGTCATAGTTTTTATACAGAAGTCTATCCCAGAACGTATATTTACCGATAATTTGTGCGGCATTATCTCCCGACTGAGAAAACCAAACGTAGAGGGGGAACGACGGTGAAATGAAATCAGCCGTCAAATAACTCGAAGGTTGATCACAAGCTTGAATAACGGAAGAATCCGCTGACGCGGGTTCTCCGACATCCGGATCCTCATTTGTGCCCGTGGTGCACTCTTCCCTTATTATCACTTGGCAAATGTTTCTGTAATTTAATTGAAAACTCATAAATCGAATATGTATTACAATCATTTCTAACACTCTTAAAATATTATCATATAAATAATTAGTAAGGACGCAAATCGAGCAGGAAGTGAAACCCCGGACAATAGAGATCGAACTTTCCGTTTAGAAACGTGTATAAGTTTTCATTATTATATTATCAATTGAGTTTGATTTTTTCCCTCTTGTAACACAGAAGGATATTAGACAAAAAAAACAATATAGGTTTCTGTATTTTATAACATATATTTTAATGACGCTATATTTTTGCGGTGTAATATCATTACCTACCGTTCGTTTCATGCTGGATCATAGAAATTTCGAATAGTACTTTACTTGTATAGTTAACGTTTGAAGGCAACAGTTTTGCCAGAGAAAAATTTCACGCACGTGGATTATTTTACGACGATCGAATTAAAAAAATGTAACAAAATGAAAACAGTACAGTTTTCTTCTCGCATGCATAAAAAATAGAATCCAGAAGTAAACAGAAAAACGAAAAATCGCAATTTCCGTATTTTAAGGAATGAAACGTATGTGCGAGCGTCGGTCATCGGTGGTCGAATATCAAAAAATCCCTTGTCGTTTCTATAATTTATAGTATACAGCTGCCTATTTATTATCGTTGTACGAAATACAATAAACTTCTGCTGAATTTCGAGTTTCTAGACCCCGGGGCGGTTCGGGTCGAACGATATGATGAATCGGTCAATAGATACCAACTAAAAATGTATATTCTATACCTAGGTAGTTAACATAGAAAAAAAAATATCCGTACAATATCGGCTATACCGGCATTTAGCAGTAACGTCGGACAACGTTCGGCGAGTTCACACGCGCCGTTCGTCAGCGAATAAAACCGTAGGTACCTACGCCGGGCCATTAAAACCCGAATAAAAATCCAGCTCAGTCGCGGACACGGGAAACGATATTGTTCGCGAATATTTCGCATAGGAAAACAGCCGGTGAGTGACGGCAAAGGCGGACCGCGGTCGTCGGTTTTATTCGCCGACGAGTAACGATGACGGGGTGCGTTTCTCCATTGGCATAGACTCGCCCGATGCAAGACACCGATTACTCATTTAACGAAACGGCCAAAAAACAACATAAAACGGTTTTTCGGATATACCAGCCGTACCTTATTAGAACGATTGCGTTCCATACTCCGACGGCGATGTTCGCTTTTGCCTCGCATAGCCAACACAGTACCAGTAACATTAAGATCGCCGTGAAAAGCACGCTCTCTATTAGCGAAACCACGGTGAACAGCATGTTGATCGCAGTATTGAAAGATATACGAAGACGATTACGCGCACGAATGTGCGGGAGAATAAAAAAGACTATAAGAAATAAAACCAAAAACATAAATTATACTATTAGGCGTATTGAACTTTAAATTTGATATTCTTAATTAATTTTTTTTTTTACCTTTTTGTTCGGATCGCACACTAAGGTTGTTTACTCGGTTGCCGGGCCCTCGTTAACTTTTTCGGCTACCGTATCCACGAAGCAACAGTTGATTTGTTTGTGTATTTAACTAGCCAACGGTTTTCCGATAGAATTATTTCAGACCATCAATAACATCCGTGTTATTTTTGTAATAACGGTCGTCGCTACGGCGACCGGCGTAATAAATATTTCGTACTATCGTTTTGACGAACGTCCAGCGTTCCGCGGACTTAAACTCAAAACCCGCACACTTTTGATGTTAGCTATTTTAATAATAGAAACGTGTATTTCAAATGTAATGGTCTTGTATGTTTACATAATTTTTAAGATTCATTGACGGTCGACTGTTACATCTGTCGTCTTCTCACCAACTTGTAATTACATCCTTGTAATTCGTGCAACTGTCCGTGAGTACCGAGATCAATAATTTGTCCCCGACAAACAACAGCTATGACATCGGCCGATTGGACGGCAGACAAACGATGAGCGATCGTTATACACGTTCTACCTTTTCTAGCTTCGTCCAAAGCTTCTTGTACGAAATCAATATTATGAAACTTCATTCTACCTAGTTATTTACTTGTTAACGAATTGCCCGGTTATAAATATTGCAAACGAGAGACGCAAAATATGTATTTGTACGTCTAAAATATACGGGATAAAAATATGAAGAAAAAACTTTGCTGGTTCGGTTTTTTCGCCCGTATTTATGAATCCACTCGTAAATACACACAACAATATTGTAATGTTTTCGTTGTTTGCTTCGTCCTCCACGACTTCTATACAGCTTATTGGTGTACAGTTAAAACATTACAATAATGCAAAAATGTTATATTAAAGCGGGCGAAACGTTTTTCTCTAGATCCGGGATTTGTTTCTCCACCATCTCGAAGGAAGTAAATATCGAGGACACTGGATTGATCAAAACTAACAACAACTGTTATTCCCCAGATTCTAAGTAAAAGATCCTACATAACCAATAAACTGTCTCCGTATACAATAAAAGAAATTGACCCTCTCTCGTCTGTATACGTAACATCTGCGGGAAAACGAAAATTAGAATTGGAAACAGATGAGACCAAAAGTGTATACTTCTTAAAAGGCTCTTTTAAACATTTTTTTTTTTATAAACATATACGACATCAGAGAAAAACTTAAAGAAGAAAGATACGTTTTAATTCCGTTTAACGAAATGGGGTATTAATAGTCTTCCCGACAGAAGAAACTATTATAACATTTAATACTAATGGAGTTACTACATTTAATGGCAATTCGTTCGTAAAGGTGGAAAATGTTCAATTTTTTTCGAAAGCATTACGAGTTATGGACGATTTACCTTTTAATCAAAACGATGTACAACAAATCGAAGAAATAACCATGCAAGAAATAAATGACTATGTTAAGGTCACACAGTGTCGACGTTTGGAAGAAATACCGGACAAATCGGAATTAGTCATAATTGGAATAAAACAAATACGTCACAGAAACAAAGTTCGTTACACATTACAGTTCGATAACCTGGATTCATTGTATGTGTCAAATTTCTGATTGAAGAAAGAAATCTCAGATGTTAATATAGATTTAAATTATAAGATAAAAATTAAGATGGATAGAATTAAAACTATTCCTAGTAAAAATAAAGAAAGGCAGGTTTTTTGTGTGTAATATTGTATAATATATGTATAAATATTTTTTATTGTTAAAAATAATAAATAAGTATTTACCTATATAAATTTTGTCTTTTTATTTAAAAAAACCCCTTCCATTAAGGTTACATAAATGTAGCATAATACTTAAAAATAGTTGAAAGTATAGTAAGGTTACTTTCTCACCTATATGATAAGATAAATATGGTATAATTTGTGATAACAGTGTGGTAATAATGTCGGTGATAATAGTGTGGTAATAATGTCGAAAGTGGGCGTGACCTAAATGGTCTATGAAGTGATGGGCAATTCGGGCGGCCATGTATTAGGTATAGCACTTGATCCTGGCACCTGCACCTGGGGTAGAACTCTCCTTTTTATACTACTAACGGGTCCTGATGTACACCAAAGAGCAGAGCGGTTACGGATCATAGATTATCGCTACCGCTTAACGTTAAGTCAGTCCACGTCCGTGCCCCTGCGGACGAACCTCTGGTCCATTTTTTTTTATGTGTTTTCTAAATTACACGAGTTGTACCAAATAAAGTTTTAATTGTATTAGCATTCTAACCGTGTCTACTATCTGTCTCCACATCCTTTCACCGGCAGACGTCGGCGAAGGTCCGTCATTAAATAAATCATCGAACGAGCACAGTCGCATAAGCCCCGGGCTCGCTACACTGATATTTTCAGCGAGCGCGCCCGCACAAAAAAATTCCACACGTTTTATAAAATGTCATGGCAAAATGGTATGTCATTGTGCGTTATAAAAGTGTATCCCGGGGAGGGTGGAGAACAACGGCTCCTTTTGCCACTCCCCCCTGCGGGCGCCCTTGATTTTTAGAGGAGTTAGTACCGTCCATAAAATTGTATACTGTTTTTTTTTTTTTTTAATCCTTCAAATTTTTCTTCGCGTAATTTTCCTACAAAATTTAACGTAAATCTTATCGTGATTTGCGTCATAACGTCTTTTAATGTTGTACTCCTTCATGGCAGATACACTTTGTTTACAGATCAAACATATTGGAAGAGAATTAGAATTAGTAAAAAAGTATGCATGGTGCCGTTTTTCTTGAAAAGCCCGTCTTTATCGGTCAATTTTACGTTTCATCGGTTTGATGTGAGACGTTTAAACGAACAAATTACGCGTATTAACTTAAATTTAAAATTACACTTGAATAGCAACTAGTTACTGGTACGAACAAAACAACACTGGTCCGTGTCACACTGTCACCCACTATTGCCGCACTTACGCCGAAATACAAATTGTGTTTATCTTTGTAGATTCGATTTACCGCATTACAAATACTTAATCGAGTGTAATAGGATTCATGGACGATTAATGTAAAAATAAAACATTATGGACGTCAGATAATATTCTATGTATTTTATGATACATAAAATAAAACTAACGTTTTTCCAATTTTTTTTTTTTCGTATATTTTTGTTCAAAATGTATTTTTATTGCGGGCCACACGGAATGGGTACTTAGATTTACTAATCGCCGTTTAACCACGGAACCGTACAGCTTGGCCCGAGTATACTTAATCAACGGCGCAAGCAATGAAAACGTTGTTTTTGACGACCGCATCACTTGGAAAATCAAATTCAACCTGTTCAGTTGAATTAAAATTTCCAAGGAAAACTTTCGAGACGGCTTATTTAGGTGGGTGAATTTCGTCGCGTACAGAAAGCGCCGTAGTCGTAAAAAAAAAATACCTTGCCGTGCAAACGTCAGGTTTTCACGGTCGCGTTCAACCGAATTACAAGAACAAACGAGAATATCCGAAACACCCAATGAAAACCGTTATCGCGTACATTTGCGCCCGGAAACCGTCGCCGGCAGTCGTCGCGCGCCCCGAAGTAGGCACGCAGAAGCGAACGGACGGGCGGGTCCGTCGCGCGCCCGGAAATGGGCATTTCCGCGTCGATTCGACCCCGCCAGAGGGCGGCTACCGGCCGACACGGGGTTTTCGGGGCGTTTAACGTACGAAAATTGAATTTCGACGCGCAGCGCACCCGTACCCCGGAACCAGCGACACGACACCGAGATAAGACGCCGAGATAACGATAACGGATTTACTGATAAGACGTGACGTCGGGCCCGATACCAGCCGTAGCATCCGAGCGTCGTGTATGTATTTCATTAGCTTTCGAGCTGTTGCCGGTTCGTTTGTTCGACGAATAACAATCGAGGTACCGAGTCGCGGACGAGGAATGATTTTTGCGTGCGCACAAAATGCGGTCGGCGCGAGACGACGTAGCGATCGTTTCCGAAATTGTTCGTAACAAAAAGCTGCGCAGTTGTTGGCATGCGACTAACTAAATGACGTGCGAAAATGAATTCTGTTCGTAAAATTTTGTTTGTCGTCAATGTTTTCCTGGTGTGTTTTCTGGCGATTTTGAACGTTTATCGTAAGTCGACGGACCACGTAGGTCATATTTTAAGATAATATGTTTAATAATTTTTTTTTTCCTCTAGTTGTTTCCGGACATACCACTATTGTCGACATCAAGGAGTATGAATACGGAGGCGACATATTTTTCGAGATTACGGATCCACCGGAACTGCAGTACACGTATCGCATAAGACCTGCAAAAACATTTGGCATTCCTTTCGTAATTATTTTTTTTCAATAAACTCTACTTTGATTTTATGCCTCTAACATTATATCGGTTTATTGGAGACGGGTCGTTACATCCACAACCATGTTAGGTCAGGCGGAGGGGTTCTTTTCTTAAAGTATTTTATATTTAAGTAAACGGACCCCTTATTATTTTCCGTGGCACTTGACTGTCAGAGCTGGGACATGAGCATTGATCAATCGGAGGTTGTGATTAATATTTTGCTGCCTCCAATTATCAGATTTACCAAGTTCAATAAATGTTTTTGTTCTTTTATGAGTGATAAACTTGACAATATAATAGTAATCTTATAACATAATTATGAAATAAAATACTAAAATAAAACCGAAGAAATTATCAATTTATAGCCAAATTTAAAATTAAGTATTGTTGAATTTCCGACTCAATAGTCTAAATTTTCAAGTTTGGGGATGTCATCTTCCACCTATATTCTTCCCTGAATGGATATTATAAACATAAGGACAATTTAGGTACATAAATTAGTGTTTACATTTTTGTTCCCTTTCTAATTAGTATCCAATTCAGGCATTGATTAGGTGCAAAACATAAATTTTTCTTATTTCTATATAAAAAAGTTAACCCGTCTCAAGATTTTAAACGCTAAAATAAATTAATCATCATAATATTATTTATAAAAATGTTTTTTTTTTTCATATTTATAAAGGATAAAGAAAATTTCCCAGTTACAAAAACAAAATTGGTGCTTGTTGACCCATCGCACGGATGTGAAAAACCTAAAAATGCCAATCAACTAAAAGGAAATATTGCATTTGTGAAAAGAGGGTTCGCATTTATTTTGTGTGCTTATAATATATATATTTGTGCATTTTAAGATAGTTTACTTTTGTGTTTTAGTGAATGTAGCTTCTTGCAAAAAACTGTGATATCTGAAAAGTCTGGAGCAAAAGCTATAGTCATTACTGACAATAATATTTATGATGATTCAGCATATATTCACATGATTGATGATGAGAGTGAATTGTCCGCTAATATTCCAGCTGGCTTTCTTGTTGGAAAGTCTGGGTTAGTATTATTTTCCGTTTACTCTTTATGAACATTAACACTGTTATGTTATTAATGATAATAGTATTAATTCCTGATAATGTCAATTGCAAAACGTATAGGTATCGTGTAGGAATAATTGTAATATTGTGTTCTAGGCATTTGATTCATACCAAAATGTCTGAACTAATGGTTACTGAACTACCTATCATGTTTCCATTAAACATGACATATGTACCACTGCACGAAATCAAGCAACCACCTTGGATATCAATTTGAATCTCAGAATATTTAATTAAATTTTAGACTGAAAAATCCCTCCACACTATATTATTATACTCGGATATTATTGTTTAGTTATAATAATTGTATTTAAATATAAGTAATTTAAGTTACTGTAAATCAGTGTTTCTCTATTGGCTAACTCTGTTAACTTGCAAATACGACAACAAACTGGCAAATATAGTTATATTTGTCAATGTAACTATACATTGTCTATACATTATCCAATACAATCTGTCAAACCGTGTTGTAGAAAAATTCGATAACAAATCATCTAAGTATGCAGTATAATATTGTGTTCTATTACACACAATAAATTTATTACAGGGTTTAAATTATACAGGGAGTTATTTATAACAAACATATTTAAGCATTATATTCTAGTAAATAGTTTTATTTACTTGATATTCTAATTATAAAATATGTTAATGTTTTTTTTTTTTTTCTAACTATTTGTTATATATAGTAATTAATTAGAGGGATTATAAAATTAATAATTCTGTTTGATAGTATATACCTACATTTAATTATTTTTATTTAATACTCATCTTATCTTATATAATAAATAACTAATAAAATAGTTTGTTAGTATTTTATCATTGATTAATTAGTTGAACAGTTATATCTATTGCAGAATTGAGAATTCAGCTAGTAACTGATTGTCTTTTTACTTCTATTCAAATTATAAATATTATTATAATTAAAACTTGATTTTTACCTATGCTGATTAAAACACACGCAATCATTGTAGAAAAGCTGAAAATTTAATTTTATATTTAAAACACATGTGAGGGATGTCTTAATGAAACATTTCTGGATGCTCCATATGATTTAGTCATTAGTAATGTTGAACGGGATCTACGACCTTCCTCTTTTGAAACTATAGACCATTTCTGCAATGATGCTGATCCAAATATCAAATAAAAACACATAGAAAACGCAAAAGTGGACATAATAATCCAAAAGACCATGTTCCATTCTTCTTTAGTATTCTGCAAAATTCAATTGTTAAATTACATTTAATAAATAGTTTAAAGTTTAAATTAACAAAATCTGTACAAGATTTGTTTTAAACACGTTCTTATTTTAGATAAATATTACTCTAAACACTTACTCAGTGATGTAATTATTACATAGGCAGTATATTAATGGAGATTAAACCATCAAAAATAACATTGTGATTTATTTATTTTGTCGAAAAAAAAAAAATGTATTAATTATAATTTTAGCAAGAGAAAAAATATCTAACATTGTAATTATTAAATAATGCAGTAGGTAATATTAATGGTATTTTTATACATATTTGAAATTTATATGAATCAAAATAAATATTTTATATTTTACAATAGGCAAACTACACATGAAGCGAGAAACTTGATTTATTATTATTTACTTGCTAGGATTTCACTAATTATACCCTAACAATTGGCTAAATTAACAGGTAAATCATATTTATGAATAAGTACTTATATACTATACATTATTAGCGTTCAAAATTCACAAAAAATTTATTTAGTACCTATTTGTTTTACGCAATTAATAATCGATTGTAATCAATACTTAAAAAATAAAAATTACTGTTTATAATAGTAAACAGCGGTCAACTTAGTATTATGGTTTATGGTAAATATATTTGAAAGAAATTAACTAACTTGTTCGGTGATGATGCTGTTTATTAAAATTGATTGTGTGCCGACCAGATATGCGAAAAATGTTGATATACCAGACAATAAACCGGCGAAATTCGGGGTCATATTAAGGAGTGTTGGATAGAATCCTCCGCTATAAGCAAACTCGCCCCACGCCAAAATGGATGATATAACAGAGATGGCATACCACTTGTTGATGTTTTGCATGCAAATTAATGTGAAACATGACAGGATCAACATCAAACTTCCTATAGTCGAGCGAATCACTATTAATATCAAAAATATGTATATACCTAATATGATACGCACTGTAATCTTGACAAAAATTAGTAGGTATTTGCCTAAGGATAAATTGGTTGACTTAGACAAGTACTTTGGATTAGAACGAATAAATACGAGTGTGGCTACGAGAAAAATGTATGAGTAGGCAAGTAGATATGGGCAAGATACTTGAAAATGAGTACCTATCTAGGTAGGTAGGTACTCGAAACAATTTACATTGATTTTCAGTATTTAGACGGGTACAAGATACTAGACATAAATTATACGTATGTAACGAGTATTGAAGTACAAAATACTCGATAGCAGGTAAGCGAACCGAAAAAGCAAAAATAATTGTTTACGGAATTTTTAAAAATCCGGCCCCCCACGAGCGTCCCGTAAAACCCGAGTGCAAGATAAAATGTGTTGAAAGGATTTTTTTTACATAAAAAAAAAAACGCTGCATGTTGTCTTACACCACGCACATACCGAGTGATCCATTCGAGTGGGTACAGTGTTACACTCGTTTATCTCGGAAAGTAATAACTTTTCGAAATTTGTTTTTTAGAATATTAAAGAAACGAGCTGCCCTACAATTTCATACAGACGTTATTTTTCGTCGCCCTTATCTTTGAGGGTAAAGCCACTTTGGCAACCTGTATTCAAAATTCCACAATTAGACGGAGTATTGATTAAATTTTACTTACACTTTTAAGTTTGGGTGGCAGGAGAGTAGTGGAGTAGCATTTGTGTGGCGGTACGGCGCGCGGCGTGTTGACAATGCGCCACCACCACTCTCCTCCAACCCAAATTTAAAAGTGGAATATCTCGTCGACGGAAATCGAAAATGTCAACACAGACATTTGTTTTTATTAATACTCCGTCTGTTTGTGGAGTTTTTTTTAAATACAAGTCGCCATTTGGAAAAAACAAAAGTAGACGGTCGTTTTCATCCCCGCACAATAAGGGCGACGGGAAAGGCACAAATAAGGGCCCGCGTGCCGCTACCTCGGGGGGGGGCCCAGTTTTCTCTCCGCGGCCCCGCTCTCGATAGCCGGGTATTTACGCGTCACTGTCGCATTGAAAAACAAGCGACTCTGGATTCACGTTGAAATCAGAACATTAATATTAAACACAGTTCGCGCGTGTAGGATCTTAAAAGACGGTCACTTTGTGAAACGCTTTTTGTTTTTTTTCTTTATCCACGACAACGATTCCCCGTTGTCATTTCAACGTCGAACGTACCCGGGCACCTATTTTCGGATGTCGAGCGGGCAATCGCCCGACACGGTCATCCTTCGGGCGCCAATCACGGGCCGGATACTTGAAAAACGAGTACTGTTATTGGATTATCTAGATACAGTGTCGCGATACCTACTACAACCGGAACTTTACCGGATACCGTGTTGCGCCGAAGATACCCGCCGACCGCGATCGCGGGCAGACGGGTGGATGGGCGCGGGTTTGATAAGTCGACGTACGGTACCTACCGACGGCGTAAATCAGTTTTCGGCAATTGGTTTGCGACAGTCCCGTAGAGCTCTTGACGATTTTATACAGTTTCCCGGTCGTGATCCGAACCAAAAACGTCGTGAAGAACGGAATGCAAAGCAAATATCCATTCTGGAGAGCACACAAACGAGTGTATTACACCGGTTCGGCGGGATACGGGCACCGGGCGTTATTTATCGCCGGTACGTAAACGAACGCACGCGGGGCAAATGTAAATGTAAATGTCACGCATACCTCTCTGGGGCTGACGCCTATCACGTTCTGCATGAACATCGGCATGTTGCTCAACACCGTGCAAATGTTCCACACGAACGCCGCATAGCAAATTATGTACGCGATGATCGGCATCGACGTCAGAATGGACAGCCACGGTATGGTTGCCGGCTAAAACAACAACGTATAGAGCAGTTAGCGTAGGGAAAATGTAACCAGCTTAGACGGCATCAACGGCGGAGTACAGCGAGTTCCGCTTAACGTGATCGCGTCGGTTCGGGCCATTTCGACTCTTCGGCTACTCTGGCCGGTTGATTCCGTAAAACTTAATTTTTTTACTTTTAATTCATTCTGTATTCGCGCGCGTAAACTCGAAAGAAAACGAATACGTTTAAAACGAAATCAAAGAAGCTAAGTGTGTGTGTGTGTGTGTTCGATTCACCCCCGCTCGAGAATCTACCGATACGAATTTCCATATTGGCCAGGAATCGGATTAATATAGAATTAAAAAAAAAAACGTAGAAAAAAAAATACGCGATGAGAATGTTCGTAAAAACGATCCGGTCGTCCGGTACTCGGCGGGCGGTTCTGACAATAAAAGATTTATTTAACATTAACGGCGTAAGATTCGGTCGGGTATTTTTATTTTCGTTTTATCCGATAAAACGGCCGGTCCGTAGTGATCCGGCGATCGCATTGAGCGGCACTCACCGGCACGCGTTCTTCTCCCCGGTCTCCGGTACACCCGCGGCGCACGGCTTAAACGGCAATCGCCATTTCTTCCGGTCTGCCGGTTCCGCGCGCCCCCCTCCATCTCCCCCCCCCACTTCCCTCCACCTCGGTATCGTTTCCCGCGGTATTCGTCCGGGTCCGTCCTCGTTCGCAAGTCCTCTCCGTTCGTTCGCCCGACGATGGTGCGCACTCGACGTTCGTCGCGCCGCACCCGGTAGCCCGGTAACGCTAACCCTGAAACGCGCAGCCGCCGCTACGATCCCGTCCCGAAAAGCGCGCGCGACAGCCGACAGGGTCCACCTGTTTGTATTGTCATTCATTTACCTCGTTGTATATGCCGACGTTCTCCAACAGGTACTGGTATTCCGCGTCGGATATGTCCGGGTGGTTCTGCGGCGAGTCGTACAAATATACGAACCAAAAGGCGACGATGACAAACCACACGGCCGCTGAAATTCGCCGTCGATGGTTTCAGTGGCTCGCGGACAACAGCGCGCCGTGCAAACGCGCGATCGCGAGGGACAATTGGTGGCGGGGCGTCGACATCACGCCGGGCGGCGGCGGCGGCCCGTGGCCGGGCCGCGTGTGAGACCCCTGCAAAAGTGACCTGTTCGCCCGTATTTAAACGGTGGCGTACACTCCTACACGCAGTCCCTTTTTGCCCGCCGAAAAAAATTGCGGCGGACCACACTTTTTTTTTTTTTCGTACACTTTAGATCCTCGCGTGCGTATTGGTTTTACGCCGACGTTCGACATTCGAGACTATTCGTGCGTTTAACAAGCGGGGAAAACGTACGATTTCGTTGGTTTGAAATAAACACGGGCGCGACGTTTTGTACCAGAAATAGTTCACAAACGGGAGAGAATGGCGAGCGACGTTTTCCGTTGCTTTTCGGATAGACGTTCGCAGAGACTGGCGAATGGGAAATACAATTTACCAGACACGTTTATAACGTAAGGCGTCGGGATTCTCGAAACATTTCGATGACGTCTACGTCATTTCCGTAAATTAGAAATACAACAATGTCGTACCTCTTATTTTTTTTTTTTTGTAGTTTATGGCCGATTTTTACTAATTTTACAACTATCTAGTGTAGGAGTTTACCATACCCCGCGTGCCGAACCACCGTCATTTTTGGGTATAAAAATAATAATAATAATAATAACAAAATAGTCTACTTGTCGATCTCAAACAGGCTTCACGACAAATTCAAATCTGCTTTTAGAATTCCAATCGTTTCACTGGATCAACCGGTACGTCGGAAATAAAACGCGTCTAAATCACAAAATTTCACCGCGTGAATTGTTGCACAATGAACGAATACTCCTCCGTCGCTCCCAATCCCCTAAACTTCAATTGATAAGTCAATTTAAAACAAAAGACAAAACATCGCCGATCGAGCGTTTCAATAGTTAAAATACCAAAGAAATGTGAATTTAAAAACCTGCGGAATTGTGGCATTTATGGAATTCCGATCATAATTCACTCGACGATCGCTTACATTCAGATTTTAATATTGGCACGGCCCCCAAGACATCGTGAGATAGCACGTCACGGCGATTGGGCGATTTAATAATCGTGCCCGTAAACTAACAAGTGGGTACTATAAATAT